TTCTTGAAGATCTTCTCCACTTGAGTGTAATTCTCCAGGTCCCAGTAGATCTTCGCCTGCGCCATTAATACGGGAACGTATCTGTCGAGGGCCTCCTCATAATCGTTCACAGCCTTCTTCACGGCATTATCATCATGATTCAGTCTCGCCTCCTGGACCTGCTTAGTCGCTTTGCGAAGCGCTTCCGTATGTTTGTTAGCAAGATCATCGAATTTGCGATATGCCTCCTCCGGCGAAGTTTGTTGCGTTATTAGCGCGTCCAAGAAGTCGTATAAATACTGGAAAAATAATGCAAATTTAAAAATAATTCTAATAAGTAAAACATTATTGTACATCAACTAGGAGTATATCAAATCCTTTAATCGAAATTTGTGCTTAAAAATTTTTCCAAAGTGAACTCTATTTTTTGCAGAATGTCTTATTAATCCATAAATGGAATTACTAATTTATTTATATTTCACAATTTTATTTTTCATAGTTTTGTGTTATTCATACAAGCTAATTATTATACTGTATCTATAAGTTTAAGTTTTTTATATACAATCTTGACTAAAATATTAGATATTTATATTTTCTCATTTATTCGGAATTCTTTTTCTGCATTGTTTCTATTGATTGTCGGCATTACATATAATAAGTTTAAAGAGTTCTTGAAGCAAAAGGATAATTTACAGCAAATGTCATAAATCAATTTTTAAACTAAAATTTTAAATAATGTGTCTAATACTTTTAGCCAAGACTGTAATTAAAAATTTTGTAACTTCTTCTAAAACTAAAAATAAAAAAGTTTACTAGCTCCTGAAAAGACCGATATTTTCTGTTATAAGTTAATATCATTTTTTTGTTAATATCATATTTTTGTTACCCTGGTATTTTCTAAATTAAATAGAATATTAAATAAAGATTAAATAAATATTAGAATATTACATATAAAAAATTGTAATCGGAACCTGTTTAAGAATCTAATTTTTATTTTTGCAAAATATCTACTATTATAATACCTACTATTATAATATAATATTTTCTATATCACATACTTTTGTTACATTGTTCTATGAATTTTAACGTATTTGTAAACACTTTAATCAAAACTTCAATTATCGTTAAAAAATAATAAAAAATGTCCCCTATAACGCTGCGGACATATCGATATTACGGCCCTGTGTTTGTTGATAGAAATCTAACCTATAGCGCAATACTTTTCTTTTTATTGATTTTACACTTATTGAAACGTCATCACTCGCATACGAATGTTCTTTCGATGGGAAATTAAAGATGACAAAATGCGAATTGAATCAGATATTTCTGGGTGAAGTCGCATCCGTGCAAAATTACGGAGCGTTCGTCAGAATACCAGGTACCTCGCAGCAAGGCTTAATACACCGATCACAGGTGTGTATTATTAGACTCTCATATAATAAATACTAATAATAATAATCTCTGCTGTAATGTAATTCATTGATTTCTATGCAATTCTCGTCAGGTAAGCACGGCTCATGTCGACAATGTTGCAGAGATCTTGCAAAAGGGTGAGCGAGTCTGGTGTAAGGTGATATCGGTTGGGGAAGACGGCAAGGTAGGGCTGTCCATGAAACACGTAAATCAGGGAAATGGCACGGATCTAGACCCTAACGGCGTGGAACTGCAAAGAGATGCACAACGGAGAAAAAATCCAGGAATAACTCAGCATAAGGCCATACAGTTGGAAGCGGTATTGAATACTACATGTACCAAATGTGGGACCAGAGGACACTTGTCCAAGGACTGCTTCATGTCTCCCGATGGCAAGAAGTATGAACTGATTCCAGAAATCGAAGAAGAGAGTGTCCTGGAACTGGACAGTAAGAACGCTGAGAAAAAGATAGAGAAGAAGCATAAATCAAAAAAGAAGAAGAAAAAGTCGAAGAGGAGCAAACAGTCTACTGATGACAGTGATACAGAAGACAAGGAGAGGGGCAAGAAAAAAAAGAAATTTTCTAAAGAACGCAAGAAGCATAAAAAGAAATACAGCAGCAGCTCGAGCGACTCCTCCAATAGCTCATCATCTGACGACGCAAAATCTCACAAACGGAAACACTCAGACGATCACGAAACTCGTACCAAAAAATGCAAACATTCGAAAACCAAACATTCATAATAATTGTTCCTATTCTTTTTTTAAATATAATTTAGTTTGAATATACCTTGCGTTGTGCATATAGCTTGTATATAAAATATATATATAATAAGGCTGTAAATTGTTTGAAATGCTCAAATTGAAGTCTGACGAATAAAAATGACCGATTAAGAATTAAACTTACTGATGTTAGATACTTGTAAGTCAAATGTACATTTTCAGCCAGGACGTCGGCGGCTAGATCATAATACTGATATTTACAATACAGGAGTAGCAAGTTGGCGAAGGTCTCGGGTGGGAACGGGTTTTGCTGCAGCAGAAACTGCAGTTTCTCGAATCCTTCACTCGGTTTTGTGTCCATGTTTATTAACGCCTGATTGTGTAAAGTAACGGCGTCGAGCTCCTCCTCGGAACGCGGTGGCATGTCCGTTAACGCCTCCTTCGCTGCGTCATCTGTAATATTAAGCAAAACTGTAAAAAGACCTTTTTAAAAAGGCAGCGACGCGAAATTACAATTTTGCAATTGGTACTCGATAGCGGCTTTCAGATTGAACGCCTCCGTCAGAGCTGTCTCGTGCAGCGTCAACGTATTCCCGACACTTCGAACTTCAATACCCTCGGTAGCCATCCCTACGCTCAACTCTGGATGCTCCCTTATACCGTACTCGATAATAGTGGCAATATGTTTTAGGGATGCTGCATACTCTTTCAATTTGAAGTAACAAAGAGCAACATTATACGATAAGTGAGGCTTGAATCCTGCAATTTGTAACGCATTCGCAAATTTTTTGAGGGCCTGTTCGTACTTCTCCTCCTAGAAATATAATCGTGCATATACATCAATTAATAACACTCAACTGACTCAGTTAACAACTAAGAATAATATAACATCAATGTTATTTCATAGTCAACAATGTAACTATTATATACAGCATGTTATATTACATTTATATCGTTGTTGGATGTGAAATTATAACATTGATGTTATGTTACTATTGGTGTTTAGTGGAGTGTTACAAATATATGCACCTTATACAAGAGACATCCCAAATTGATTTCAGTATCAATGTCGTCGGCAGGACATTGATCCACGAGATTTTTCGCAGCTACCATGTCTTCCTGTCCGTACTTTATAGCTGCCTGCAGCTTCTTTACCTTGAATTCCAAGTTACTTTGATTGATAATGCTCGAACAAATCGTCCATGCTTCTGGGTACATGCAAGCTTGATGCAAGGACTGGGCGTAATAGAGCTTATACAGATTCTCTTGTGGGCACAGTTGAACCAGCTTCTCATAACATTGAGCTGCGGCCATGAAATCTTGTGTGTAAAAGTAACAATGGGCCAAAAGGGATAAACAAGGTCTAGACTGAAAGAATACTTTATTCAGTATTGGCGTTTACATAAATTGAAAAACACAATATCACATTACAGCGTACGTACGTTAGGATGAGAATCTAAAAGGTTTAACAAGACTTTAATACATTCAGTATATCGTTGTTCTCTTATCTGGAACACAATATTTAATTATTTATTTCTTTATATTTATATTTGTATTTAATTATATATTTCTTCGTTTTCGAAGATTATAAAAATCAACAAGACAAAAATATTTCAAACTATCCTATTTCTCATTTATTCGTCTTTAGGTTTATCTATTAAAAAATTTTTTAATGTATACATAATATATGTGTATGCACAATTTAGTATGTACCATTACATATATTATCTTAGTGTACTCTCCATCCTTTATGTGCACATTTTCTATGAACGTAGACATAGCGAAAATTATAATAAAGCACTATGAAACTTTAACAACTAATTAGTACTATTTCATGATATAGTGTAGTATACATATATGTACTACATGTGGCTACCAGCATGCATTCACGAGTATTGTTTTGACACAAGGCTGAATCCGTTGCCTAGGAAACAACACCAGGGAATATAATACAAGTTTTTAATTCAATTCATATATATATGTATATATATCATTATCAATTATATTTTTATAAAATGCAAATTTTGTTTATTTAATACGCACCTTTGGACTTAAACAATTTATAATGCAGATATATATATATATTGATTTAGTTATTTTTTTATAGAAATAAAGAAATAATAATTGTGTGCATACAGCGGCAATGTTTTGTTTAACATCTAATACTATTGCATGCACACGGACAGATCACTTTTTAACCAACGCTTATGATTATTCAAATTTCAAACGTTTATACTTAAAAAAACTACTTTATGGCTTTATGAAAAAAAATGTCTTACACCTTTATTACTTAATTTTATATGAAGTTTCACGTTGCAATATTATCCTCGAATTTCGGAACACCCTGTATATTCATATATATTTACACAATTGATATACAATATATACAGCAATAAATGTATATAATATGAGAAAAAATGCATCTAATCCCACAATAACTTATTCATATCAGATAACTTATCTCTCTTAATCTGATCTAAAATTACTGTCAAATTATTAATTTTATCTATCATCACTTGCAATTTATGTTCTTGCGTCTTCAGTAATTCAGTAATCTCCAAGCAATTTTTTTTAAGCATTGCTGAGTGCTCATTTGAGAAAGATGGAACATTCAGAATTTTTACTGGCTTTACAAGAACCTTCGTCATCTGTAACAAACCACGCTAATGACAAATACAGATAAATAGTAAATTAATGTATTTACTGGTTCTATTGAATATAATTCAAATAAATTACAATAACAGAGCTATTTGAGCCTGGCTAGTTAATGTACACCAATTCATATATTATAAAAGTACAATTACAGAATACAATCTATTAAAATCATATGTTTCGACCTTCAATATGATCCTCTTCAGTTTAACAATTTAAATATTCAATATAAATACAAATACATACATTACATGTTAATGTCCCTGACTACATTCTGTTGGTCAAGTTTAGTACGAAAAACGTATTTTATCGCCCGCATAAATTAAAATACTAAATTAATGTATTTACTGGCTATGTAATGTATGTATTTGTATTGAATATTTAAATTGTTCACTGAAGAGGACCATATTGAGAGTCAAAACGTATGATATTTTAATAGATTGTATTCTGTAATTGTACTTTTATAATATATGAATTGGTGCACATTAACTAGCCAGACTCAAATAGCTTTGTTATTGTAACAGATAAATAGAAAGTAAAATAATAATTATCAGTTCTGTGAAGAGCACTTACATGTATTTCATTGGTGAGCTTGATACACTTCTCAAGCTCCTTTGCACACAGTAGTGGATACCTCTCTCTAGCGTCACACAACTCAAATACCACATCTTCACATTGTTGCTCAAGATCATCTGAATTCAAAACAAACAACATTATGAATAATTGTACAAAGTACTTCCAATTTAGAATAATTTTGTTGGAAAAAGATCCAAGATCGATTTATAGTCCATTCTTGTTTTAAAACTTTTAAGTGACGTCTTAAGATACTAATACAGCTGTAGTCAGTAATCTCATAATCAATTCTTATATTTAAGATTGTCTTAAATCTTAAATATATTTATTTAAGTACTAGTATACTACTAACATTTAAGACAGTTGTAGGATGTCATGAATCAATCAGAAATATTAACATTTTAAGACATCACTTAACACAGACTTAAAATAAGAACCAATTATGAATACTGGTCTATAAGTGAATTAACATTTTAAGATTGTACTATTGTACTTAAGACAATCTTAAATATAAAAATCGGTGCCGAGGTTTCCAATAATAAAGCACAACATGGAATACCTACCCATTTCTATATACATACAGTTGGGTCCTCACATCTGTGTCGTATCCCTGAGACCTTCATGCCTGTTTAAAAAACAAACAAGAGCATTTTAGAATACATGCAATACAAATATATTGAAACACTTTATAAAGTAAATTTAAATATGTGCAGGCATTTAAATATGTGATAAAGCACTTTGCCTATAAAAATTGCACTGTAAAAAAAAAACGACGCTTCATTTCGTCACTGATTTAAGAGTGAAATTCACGCCGAGATTCAATTTCAATTTGACTTTTACAAGCGTACGTACACAAAATTTCTGGAAGTACGTTAGAGCAATTGAGGATCAGATTGGTCGTTTACAGCATCAGAATTGATCGGAATTAATGAAACCGTCAAGCACTGTTAACTCTGTCAAAACGTCGAAAGAAGGTTTGAAGAATACGGGTTGACACTCGTCCCGCCATCAAAGGGACATTTTCTGTTCTTCATAGCTGCATTAGGTCTGTTCGAGTTGCATGAAATCCCCAAATATTTTTGCACTTAAAATGAGATAGATATATATTTGGCCTTGAAAAGAGAGAAAGCGAAGATGCCGAGTGCCAAAAATGCAAGCAACGCGAACAGACCTATTGTACAATCCTGGCTGCGGTCCACTTGACGCTACAAACGCTTCGAAGCGTTTGAACGACCAATCAGAACAAAGAATTTTACGAATTGACTAATCAAAGAATGCTTCGAAGCGTTTATAGCGTCAAGTGGATCGCAGCCCCTGTTGCATAAAGTTGGCACATTTATTTGGATCTATAATCTGACAGCTTTTTAATAAAAGTATACTAAAATCAATATATTATTGCATAGTTTATATATATTTTATAAGCCATAAGAAATGGACGAATCATAGTCGATTATTCTCCTTGAATTCGACTATAATTGGTCAATTTCTTACGGCTTAAGGCTTAAAACACCTATTGTAGATCCGGGGTAATTGCGCGAACTGTACATATGCACTGTATATCTTAGGATGGAGTCCCATGAGGTGTATTTATCGCGTATCGCATAACCGCGTAACCAATCAGAAGCGATCTGCTGTTATAGTTTCGCGTTTTACTGATTATTGATTGGTTATGCGCTTACGCGATACGCGGCAAACATGCCTGATGGGACTTCACCCTAACTGTGCATTTTAAAATGAAATAAAAATAGGTCTATTCACATTACTTGAAATCCCCAAAAATTTGTGCACTCGAAACAAGATAAAAACAATTTAGACTGTGGTCCACTTGACGCTACAAACACTTCGAAGCATTCTTTGATTAATCAATTCGTGAAATGCTTTGTTCTGATTGGTCGCTCAAACGCTTCGAAGCGTTTGTAGCGTCAAATGGACCGCAGTCTAAATTGTTTTTATCTTGTTTCGAGTGCACAAATTTTTGGCAGTGTACGACTCGATGCTTTCCAACTATACGACACAAGTCGACACAATCATACACAGCTAAAATGCTGAGTTCGACTGTGTCGTCTCTCCGTGGATACCAACATGACCAACAGTTTTACATTTGACATCATTTATTTTTCTGATAGCAGTGATAGAAGTGATATTCTGATAGCAGATTGTTAATGATTTTAAGGTTATATTCGAATATATTCGGAACATAGATGTATGCGAGATAAACAGCGAGACTAACAAGACTGATAAAAGTTACACTCTTTTGAACAATTAGGACCGTGTTCTTGACTATGGAAAGTATTTAGTACATAATTTTTTATTATTTTTATTATTTATTATAAAGATAAATGTATTGCCTACTATACAATAATTTAATAACATATTGAACATTCTTGTGCCACATAGCTTTTATTAATTTGAGTTATTCGACTGAATATAATATTATACACATTTCCTAGTTACAGCAACAAAAGGATTCACATGCAAACATTGCAATGCATGTATTGCTTCATTAGATACAGCATCCATACATGAATGTTTAAAAAACAAAGATATATATATATAACAAAGATATAACATTATGTTTATAATTTAGCACCACGTATTTTTGTTTTCAAAACTTACTATAACATTCCACAGGTAAATCAAATAAAACGTTAAATGAATACAGAATTTTGGTTAAATTAATGTTTGCACTTTGCAAATCCCTTGATACAATTCGGTTTTTGTTAGTTAAATTATTATAAACCGCTGTCTATAAAATTTACCATGCATATATACCGAAAAAAATATAGTAATAAATTATATAAAGTGTCTGTCCTGAACTCAAACGGTGAAATTATAAAGCTAAACAGCGTTCCAACTACAAGTCGACTGTGTAAGGCCGGAATCAGACTACGCATTGAAGATTGAGGTTGAAGATTGAAGATTGAAATTTGACCAATAAGGACAAAGAAATTTTAGCTCCTTT